ACGGTCGAGTCTTATAAAAACCAACACATTAAAACAGGTCATCTGGGTCGCGAGGAAGAAAATGCTATCCTCCCCGCATCTTCCTTTGAAGTCGAATTTAGGTATCAGAAAGAAAGGCTGCGTCGCCTTAGTGAATCTGGCTAGAATATCTAGAAATAGACTTCATGGGGCTTTGGGATGTTTGACGGGAACTTCCAACTAAATGGCGTGAAGAGGAGGGTTCTAACAATGGCAGGAATGAAAGATGTAGAGAGATGTTGGACGAAATAGTAACACATGTCCTCTGGATAGAGCAAGCGATGGTGTATCAGCCAGTGTTCTCTGGGGCTTTCGTCGGCCTTGTCTCTCTCTCTCTCGTATGCTGTCTCCTCTCCTATCTCTTTCTTCATCTCTCTCTCTCTCTCTCTCGTCTTCGTCTCTCTCCTCGTCTCTCTCTCTCTCTCGTCTATCACCCTCTCTCTCCCCTTGCTTCTTTCTCTCCACTCCCATATCTCTCGCTTCATTTCCTTCTCCCGGATCATCTGTCCCCCTCTCACCTCCCTCTCTCTCTCCTCTCGTCGTTCTTCTCGTCGCTCTCTCTCTCTCTCTCTCCTTCACGTTTCTCTCTCTCTCTCTCCTCTCTCTTCTTCTCCTCCTCTCTCTCTCTTCTGTCTCTCTCTCTCTCTCTCTCTCTGTGTGTGTGTGTGTGGTGTGTGTGTGGTATGTGTGTGTGTGTGTGTGTGGTTTGGCTGGGTGGGTGGGTGGGCGATGTGTGCATGTAAATACATACACAGACACAGATATATATGGTATATATATAAATCCAAAACCTACATATGTTATAAAACCCAAAACTACAAATTCTAATTCAACGAAAAAAAATGTCCAAAGTTCAGTTTACCACGCCTCACACGAAAGGTTCCCAAACAATCCTTGAGTCTCCCCTAAAACAAAACACTCTTCGAATAGAAAACGTAATTTCCTCAGGTTCTCGAAGGGGTATTGCGGTATTACTGAAGCCTTCGCCCTTATAGTCCAGAAATCAGTAAAAATACGCTGATAAATTAAGAAAAAAAATACACATAATGCGATAATTACATAGATATTCATCCATATCCGTTATTCATTACGACCAAAGAGGAAAAATGAACAATAAATCCTCATATCATATCATATTACACAAATAAACATCTAACCTTAACATCTAACCTTAACCGAATTCTTGCGATATAGACAAACAAAACATTTTTATGCATGAAATAGACGACATTTCATCAAAAAATAGATTAATATTCACATGCTGACCTGCAACAGACAACGAATAATAAAGTTGAAGATAAGGTTAAGATAAACACATTTCAAAATAAACAAACGGCCTGTAAAGCGTAGAGATAAGGCTAAAAGATAGGCTGTAATCACGGTCTAATGAGCACTCGTACTAATTGCTCTCTTTAATGGGTCATGTTCATCGGTCCT